TTGGGGGCGGGGTGTGTGGCCTTATGACACACTTCCGGTGATGTCAGGGGGTGTGGCATATGCTAATGAGTTATGCTAATGAGTTCCCCTAGCTCTTTTTCTACGAAACGACCCCTGGCAGAGACGGTTCGCCGTGGCCTGCCTCTGCATGGCAACCCCGGACTTCCTTGGTGGTCCCCCATCCAAATACTAACCAGGGCCGACCCTGCTTAGCTTCCAAGTTCTGATGGGATCGGGCTGGCCCGGGCCCTCCAGGGCAGGGCAGGGACGAACAGAGGTGCTTTTCCACCGCCTGCCCCTGCAGAGCAACCCGAGACTTCCTCGGTGGTCTCCCATCCAAGTATTAACCAGGGCCGACCCTGCTTAGCTTCCGAGATCTAACAAGATCAGGCTCGCCTGGGCCATCCGAGTCAGGGCGGTTACGCTAGGGTATGACAGAATTAGGGGAAGTGGCTTTGTTTATACAGACAATCTGGGGGTTCTCGGAGAATCATGGGAGGGGGAGGGGAGATGAAACCGCCAATGCGCTGCTGCCCCCAACAGTCCAAGCCTCTTGGAGAGCAGTAAGCCTGCTCCGCTCTCATTGTGATGGTTTCACGGGACAGGGGGAAGGTCCGCTTTCAATTGAGAAAATGATATTCTTTCTGCATACCCGAGGAGTCCCCTAAGTCTGCTGAAGCAGCTCCGACTTTGTCTGTAAAAAGGTAAAGGTAAAGGTTCCCTTGCTCGAAAGCCAGTCGAGTCCGACTCTAGGGTTGCGGTGCTCATCTCCGTTTCAAAGCCGAAGAGCCAGCGCTGTCCGAAGACGTTTCCGTGGTCATGTGGCCGGCATGACTAAACACCAAGACGCACGGAACGCTGTGACCTTCCCACCGAAGCGGTACCCATTTATCTACTTGCAATTTCTTGCTTTCGAACTGCAAGGTTGGCAGGAGCTGGAACTAGAGACGGGAGCTCACTCCGTCATGCGGCACACTCGGGTCTCGAACTGCTGAACTACCGACCTTCCACAGCCTGCAGTTCAGCGTCTTAACCACTTGAGCCACCGCAGCTCCGACTTTGTCTGTAGGAGTCCTCATTTTGCAGACACTGATAGAGGCTCAGCTATCTACGTTGGTGGTAGAGGGAATTATAGGTGTGCGTTCTTGCTAGATAGGAACATTCTTGGTGTGACAGAACTCACAGGATCGAATGGTTTTGAGTTTGTTCAGGCAACCAGAAACAATATTTAGGCTACTGTGCATCATGGAGCAGGGTTGCCAGCTCTGGGTTGGGGAAAACCTGGAGATTTTGAGGGCGGAGCCTGGGGTTTGGGGAGGGAAGGATTTCAACGGGGTATAATGCTGTAGAGTCCGCCTTCCAGAGTGGCCATTTCCTACAGGTGAACTGACCTCTGTCGCATGGAGATCAGTTGTAATCCTGGGAGCTCTCCTGCAACCAGGGTCAGATGAACCACTAAGCAGACTAGGCACGTGCTCAGGGCACCAGGGCCAAAGGGGGCACCACAAAGTTGGGGAACGTGTGAAAAGCTTAGTTTGCACAGTATACTGTGTTATCATGTGAACAGGGCCGGCTCACCCACTAGGCGAACTAGGCATTCGCCTAGAGCGCCGGGCCCTGGATGGGGTGCCGAACTGTGCCTCCCCCCTCGCCAAAAGCCCGCGTGCTATTGCTGCTCCCAGCCATGTGGCATGGGGGGCACGAAAGGGGAGCGCAAGGCCGCCTTGCCTTCCCCCTCCGCCCGGGGTCGGCTTTTGTAAATCCAAATGTGGGGTGTTTTGGTTTGGGTGCCCGGAAACCTCGCCGCCGCCTCCTCGCTCGCCTAAAGGGGTGAGAGAAGTAGGACTTCCTTCTATCCAGGCTCTGCCTGGAGGTTGGCAACCCCATAATTGGGTGCCAGAAGGTAGCCCCGCCTAGGGTGCCAAAAAAACCTCGGGCCGGCCCTGCATGTGAATACATTTTTGTACTGCTTCAACCTGCATTGTCTATCTGGTCAGACAGGTCAACCGCTAAAATGGACTGGGTCAGTGTGGAAAGGAGGGGGCCACCAAGATGGGCCAGTGCTTTGGGCACCAGTGAGCCTTCATCCGCCCCTGCCTGCAACCACCTGGAGGTTGGCAACGCTAGGCCTGGGGCCCAGTGAGAAGGGCTGGAGTCCTCTGATGC